GCCGACCCCCTCCCCTCCGCACAGGAAGTGTCCGTCCGCGGCCAGTTTCCCCCGCCGGCTAGCTTCGCGGCCTCTCTAGGAGCGGCTGGAGGTGGAAACTCGTTGGCATTAACCCTGGGCAGGATGGCCCCGGCGTCAAGGTAGGGGGAAGACTGGGCGCCTTGGAGGCTGCGGGAGAGGCTGAGACAGTTTATGTGCCTATGTCATAGGGCTCCGTCCGCCCAAGGGCTTCTGTGTCCGTCTTCTGTGCCCTGCGGCCGTCAGTGCCTGTGGCCAAGGGCGAGGCAACAAGCGAGACCAAGGTCAGCGAGAAGGAGCGACGCTTCCCGGCGCCAGCGGGGGCGGTGTCTAGCTCCCCTCCCCTCCCAGGCCTTGGGGTCAGTTCTGGCCGCGCCTCGGGAACCTGGACAGACCTGCCCCCTACCCTCACCCCCGACTTAGGCTCATCGAGGCTCCTGAGTCCGGGACACCCCTCTTTGAACTCCACTCCCCCATACGGGCGCTCCCACCCTCACTGCTGGTCGACCCCTCCCCCGCACCTCGCTGCTTCTCCTAATCTCCACCCTTCCCCCGCTCTGGGAGGGCTAGGATCGTTGCCAAGGAAACAGCCCCGCCTCCAGTTTCCAGAGGCACCGCCCCTCCTTCCCAGAGAGCTCCGCGATTGGTTGGTGGAGCTCGTGCTCTCACCATCCCGCCTCTTCCCACTACACCAACTGCTAAGCGCTAAGGGTCGCCAGGGAACGCGAGGCCCCTTTCTGATTGGTTGCAGGGTTCGCAGGCCGGTTCCACCTCCTCCGTGCTCCAGAAGTGCCCCCGGGAGGAGTGCGAGGGAGGTCCTGGCGTCTCTGGTCTTCTCTGACCTGTACTTTCAGGGCTTTTACCGCCCTCATTTACCTTTCATTAGATTTTATCTTCCTGAAGAATGAAAGACAGGGATCTGAGGACAGACTCCCTTGGCTCCCCTCTCTCCCCTTCCCAGGAGTTCTCTTTTTCTCACAGGTTCCAGGTTCCCAAAGGGGCCAGTCCGGGGCAGAGGAGGTTGTTGGCGGCGGAGGGGGGAGGAAATCCTGCTGCAGAAAGAAGGTTGCTTCCTTTTCGGTTACCCTGCTTCTCCCCTCCACCTGCTCCGAAGCCTTAGTCCCTGGTTCCTGGATTTTCTCACAGGGAGGCAAGGAGCCTATGAGAATTCCTTCAGGTGAGAGTAATAGAGTTCAGGAGGGGAAGTGGATAGAGAACCATCTGGCCTTTAAGGCAGTTAAGAATTTTCCACTCCTGTCTGACCTTTCTGACTTGGACACAGGCTTCTAGAGAAAGGGAACCTGAGAAACATAGGTGCAGCTTTGAATCAAAGGAAAAGTGACCCTGGAAAGACAACTGAATAGAATCCAGTTCTTGACCTTTTTCTACCCTTGCTGCTAAAACTATTATTCTTGACAACTAATGAACCAAATTCTCCCTTGTGAATGATGCAAGAACCATAGATTGTTCTTCTGTTGCCTACTCAGATGAAGGAAGGAAGGAAACTGGTTGGGAGGAAAGATGACATCTTCCATTCTCCCGAAAAGAGATGAGAACGAGAATTGCAAATGGGCAAAGGCTGGAGAGAAGCAATCTCAGTTCTCAATAGAGGCTTACAATCACAGACACCTTCCTACTAATAAAGCAGAAGTCCTTTTCTGCCCTCCAAAAGGGATCAGCTTCCAGCTCCATACCTCTCTCCCATCCCGATGTCTGTCCAAAAACCTTTGTGGAGAACAGCTCACCCTGCACTAGAGGGTCCGCAGGCAGAAGAGCCTACAAGTGCAGTGATTATGGGAAGAGTGGGACCTGGGGCACCTTCTGATCATCGCCAAAGCACACAAAGGACCTTCATGAGACACTTCTCTCTGACCTCCAACCTTCTTACCTACCAGAAAATTCACACCAGAGAGCAGCCATCCCCTGCAAAGTGTATAGTGAGCCCTCCAGCCCCAGCTCTGACATGGTCTACTGCCTGCACTCTTCATAGCACAGGCCTCAAGCCCCATGAGTAGCAGGAGTGGGGCCAGGGCTTCAGTCAGCTCTGGCACCAGTATTTCCACGTGGAAATTCAGTCTCGTTAGCACATGACCGACTACCAGGCAACCTCCTCCAGCACCTGTCCTCTCCCATCAGTGGGCCTTCGAGAGGCAGCCAGCCTCTGCCTGCCACCCATCCATAGCATTGACAAGCTAGAAGCACAGGGAAACCTCTGATGAGGGTTCCAACTTGACCCTGAGCGTGTGTGTCCTGAGTTGGGCAACCACTTTATCCACAGAATCATCCCGTGGTGTGCAGCAGCACTGGGGCAGAGATATTCAGTGGGCAGCCTCGGTTTCTGGTGGCTTGGCCCACATTCAGGGTAGGATCTCTGTGAGAGGGGCTCCTCCATGATCTGCTTCCTCCCTGCATGCAACGGACAAACCCTCTGAAAGGCCTTCTGGGGCTTCCCTGGTGGTGCAGTGGTTAGGAATCTGCCTGCCATTGCAGGGGGCATGGGTTCGAGCCCTGGTCCAGAAAGATCATGTGCTGAGGAGCAACTAAATCTGTGTGCCACAACTACTGCAGCCCAGGTGCCCTAGAGCCCATGTTCTGCAACGAGAAGCAATGAGAAGCCCGCACACCGCAACGAAGAGTAGCCCCCACTTGCTGCAACTAGAGAAAGTCTCAGCATAGCAACAAAGCCCCAGTGCAGCCAAATATAAATAATAGTCAAAAAAAAAGAAAAAAAACCCTTAAAAAAATAAGTAAAAGTCCTTCTGTCAGATGCTACAAGCAATGCCCTGGTATATTCAAGATTTAAGGTACCCAGGAAAAGACCAGTCATGGCACAGGCCCTTTTGGGAAGAACAAAGGAAATGGGAGTCTGTGTCTATGGCAAGGTCATCAGCTGGCCTGACACATTTGGAACACGCCCAGAGACCAACCCCCACACTTTTAAAGCTAAGAGGAGCCAGAAAAATAAGTTTTTCTGTTCAGAGCAGTCGTCCTTTCAAACTTTAGCAGGCATAAGATTCCATTCCTGGAAATACTGATTCAACAGACTAGGGACAGAGCCCAGGGAGACAGCTGCTTTCTGAAAAGATACTGCATGTAATTCTGCAGCAGAAAGGCCTTACTTTGAAAAATACTGGTCTGGGGCAGATTTTAGCCTCTGAATCATAAATGTCTTTGCACATACTGTTCCTAGAAAGATATACATAAACATATCAGCCCCCCCAC